TCAGTTCATATTTGAATGTTTGTTTTTAAAAAAAGGACTTTAAGGGACCAGCAGTTAGCGTAATGGCTATATCGCTGGACTCCCATGTAGTTGACCACGGTTCGCGTCCCCCACCAGGTGGCTTAAAACTCACGCCAGGTGTGTGTGCATGTGTGCTCCGAGATCCCGAGAGGAGAACGGAGGAGAAGGGACTGCAGTGTGGCCATCCCCCCTGGGGGATGATTTCTTGCTTTCTGTCTCTCTCTGTGTGGCGAGCGCACATGCCCTATAGCAAAAACCTCTCCAAAAAAAGGAAAAAAGAGGACTTTAATTGCAATAAATAAACTTCTCTCTGATAAAAATTGTTAATGAAATAAGGCATCTGATTGTTAAAACAAAGAACAAAATGTAAAAAGTCAATAAAATTCTATAATATAAAATATATTAACATATAGGGAACATTGTTACTACCTACTAAGGGTTATATAACATATCTATAGAAGCTTCATTACAAACTCTGATGTGAGCAGCAAATAATACAACATCATAGAGGTATGAGGTGCAAAAGGTGAAAATTGAAAATGCTTTGTTAAATTAACCTATAGAAATTTCTCTTTCAGGGCTGGTCCCATAAGCCTCTCGGTGAAGGGGACTGGATCCCACATGACTGACTGCAGTTTGCCTCCCAGCCCTGGTGGCTTGAAAAACCTGCAGGGTGATGGTGTGGGCATGTCCCAAATTCCAACAGGATGGAGAGAGTAACACAGGGAAGGGGATTGTGGTGTGTCCATGCCTTGTTGTGGGGTACTTTTTCCTACTCCACTTCTATTTCTTGCTCTTATCTCTTGGTCAGAAAAAAAGTTTTTGATATCTGTTTTTTTTTTCTTTTTTAAGAGAGATTTTTGCTATAGGACGTGTGTGCTCACTGGAGGGACAGAGAGAGACAGAGAGATGGAAAGTGAGAAATCATCCCTCAGGGGAAATGGCCCTGTTGCAATTCCTTCTTCTCCATTCTCCTTTTGGGATTTTGGGGCATATATACACACCCCCAGTGTGAGTTTAAGCTGCTGGGTCTGAGACTTAAACCACAGTCAACTGTGTGGGAGTCCAGTGACATAACCACTATGCCATCTATTGGGCCCTCTTTTTGATACCTTAAAGAGAGTGTAGCTTTACTAAAATGTGTATACATTGTTTACATACAAGTAATTGACACTAAACAAAGACAAAGAATAAACATAAGAAAATGTAAGTGGAAAATGGTAAGAAGCAATCTGTATGGCTCATTTTTATGTTTTGGTCAGTTGACTGATAAGTAAACATTGCAAATTGAAAGGTAGGGCTGCAAAGAAACAAAAAATTTAGCCCTTGTCCATTTACTTGGGTATAATGAATGCAGTTAGGTAAATGGAAGAAATATTTAAAGAAGTAACTTTTTTAAAAAAAAACTGGGTTATAATGTTTTCACTACCAACTTGCCTAGAGTTCTCGAGTCATGAGCACTCACTCAAAATTTATTCTAACTTCCAAGAAATGACAAATAAAAGGAATGTCCAAAGGCTTTTGATGAATTTGAACGCTTAGACATATTTGAAATTTTTTTTACTTCCAGAAAGTTCTTGAGACCTTTGTGCTCGAAAAGAAGCTGGGGCCAGCAGTTGGCATGATGGTTAAGGTGCTGGACTCCCACATGGCTGACCATGGTTCAGGTCTTGGACTGAGTGGCTTGCTTTCTCTCTGGTTAAATTTAAAAAAAAATTAAATTAAATTATTATTAAAAAACATAAAGTTGAGCCACCTAGACAGCCCTTAAAGCTAAGGTATTTGTGCAGCTTTGGTGAACTTTAATTTGGAGGTCATGGCAGGGATCAGTGTATCACCTGAAAAGGGATATCTAGAGTGGGGAATGTATAGAAGATTCTCTTTTGTTTACATAATATTAAATAAAAAGTTTTAAAAATTTTTATAAAACATGTTCAAAGACACTGACAGCATTGTTCCCATAATGTATATGATCATTTTCTTGGTGACAACTGAAACAGCATGTTCCCATTGTTCCAGCCACTTTTTCAAATGGGTAATCTGTTGTTGCATGTAAGCTCTCTAGGGTCAGTGATTATATTATCTACGACTATCTAAAATTTCAATTGTTCAGAGATTGGAATTGAAAACAAACATGGTAGATACAACAAAGTGCAGAACCTGAAAGACCCGGGGTGTGTGTTTGTGCCATATGGCAGGTGGGGGAAAGCTTGAAAAACACAAAAGACTGGGAACCCAGGCCCTATGCTCTGCTGCTGGGTCTGCCAGGTACCTCATGCAGTGACCTGACCAAGACACAAGTTGTCAGGTCTTTGTTTCTCCACTTACAAAACAGGGGCCAGAATACTGGTCTGCCTCTTTCCAGTGGATAGTGTGAGAACCAATTGTGATAATGTGAATAAATATACTGTGAAGCTATACAGGACTATCTACAGTTATATAATTATCAATACATTTTATTTCTCAAAAAGAAGGAAAACATACCAAACAAATTTAAAAAAGGAACACTTTACCAAGGAACCTGTAACAATGAATCTAGTTTAAAAAGATATTTAAAAATGCCAATAGTCTGAGAATCAGGAGACTTAGGTCTTGGTCCAAGTGCTGACATAAAGGAAGCGTACAATATTCTCAACTGGACTGGTCAGAGGTGTCTATCATGCTGGGTAAATTCTCTTTACAATCTAAATGATGTATAGCTATTGAATGTATAAATAATAATAATAAATAATAAAAATGAAAAAAGGTAATTTATGAAATCTGCATAAGACCTATCCCCTTAGTTTTTTTTTACTCTAATAAAGGTTATAAAATTTCCGAGCTACCTTCTAGGTAATGATTCTATGAATCTTCTAAAGTCCATTTAAAAATAACACTGGTCTTTTATCTGTAGAATGAAATATTGTCTTATGAAATAGTACATAGATTTATTTGACAATTTCTGTAAATTACTGTCATTTGAATCAGAATGTCTGAACCAGAAGGGACATATTATTCTCTAAAGTGTCAAAGCATATAGCAGAGTTGCCTTAAAAAGGTATATTCCTGGGACCAGCAGGTGGCATGGTGGTTAAGGTGCTGGACACTCCCACATGGCTGACCATGGTTCGAGTCCTGGACTTGGTGGCTTCCTTCTTTCTCACTTTCCTCTCTCTCTCTGTGTTTCTCTCTGGTCAAATTAAAATGAAGGAATGAATGAATAAATAAATCTTTTTTTTTTTTAAAGTATATTCCTGAAGGAAACCCAGAAAGGCATATAAGTATGAAACCACAGGATATGTGTGTGAGGGGTAGTGGTGATTTGGAGAACACAACAGATACCTAAACTGTTAGGGTTGGTAGGTTCATGCTATATTTTGTTAGTGATGAATTGAAGTCTGGACTTAATATACATTCCTAATGAGAATCTATAGCGATAAGGGACCAGCAGTTAGCATAATGGCTATGTTGCTGGACTCCCATGTAGTCAAATGCAGTTTGAGTCCTGGACCCAGTGGCTTAAAACTCATGCTGGGCAGGAGTGTGTGCATGCCCAAGATCCCAAGAGGAGAAAGGAAGAGAAGGGATTGCGGCGTGGCCATCCCTCCTGGGAGGTGATTTCTCACTTTCTGTCTCTCTGTCTCTCTCTTTCTGGCAAGCACATGCACTCTATAGCAAAAAAAAAAAAAAAAAAAAAAAGAATCTGTAGTGATAAAAATAGAGAAATATTTTGGAGAGGTTTTTATGTAAATTTTTTAGGTGAAAGAGAGGTTTATTAAGTGACACACCAAGTATCAAATTAAAATAACAAAAATATCTCAGAGATCTTTAAAAATAAATATCTCAAAGTAAATTACTCCAATACATTAAGCATTAACAGAAAATATACAATGATAATATTCTGGTATTGTTTTTTTTCTTTAATGACTCAAAACATGTATGTAATCATAATTTTACTTTTGTCATTGTCACTCACTTGTGTTCAGTTAATGTTATTTCAAAATGTAATTCAAACAAAAATAAATAACAAAAACGTCCTCTAAAGTTTAGTGTGATATAATTTTACTTCATATTATTTATTGGGGCTGGCAGGTGGCATGGTGGTTAAGGTGCTAGACTCCCACATGGCCAACTGCGGTTTAAATCCTGTACCTGGTGGCTTGCTTTCTCACTTTCCCTTTCTCTCTCTGGTTATATTTAATAAATAACAACAGTAAATAAAATAAAATAATTCTTTAAAAATTATTATTTATTATTTTCAGTTTTCTATAGGAGCACATATGCTTGTCAGAGGCAGAGACAAAGAACAAGAGACAAAAAGTATGAAAGCACCTCCCAGGGGATGACCATATCACAATCCCTTCTCATCTATTCTCCTCTTGGGATTTTGGGCAGGCACACCCAGGTGCCAGGAATATTTTTCAGATCGAGGGGTCCAGAACTTGAACCATGAAGTTGGTCACATGGGATCCAGCTGCCACAAGCACTACACCACCAGCTCTTTTATATTATTTTTATAACTTTGCAATAATATACATTCTCAAAGTCCAAACAGGAAATTATTCTCTTTAGTTTAAACTAGCTAAACTCTTCTAAAAATCAATGATCTGAAGGGCCAGCCAGTGGTGTGGTAGTTACGGTGGCTGATCCCACATGGCAGACTATTGTTGAAGTCCTGGATGTGGCAGCTTGAAAAACCCGCCAGACACGTGTGCATGCATGCCCAAAATCCTGAGAGAAGAATATAGGAGATGGAACTGCAGTGTGGCTATTTCCCTGCTGCCTCCTGAGAGGGTGGAGGTGATTTCTCATTTACCCTCTTTCTAGTGAGTGCACACACCCTATAGCAAAAGCTAAAAAAATAAAGATAAAAAAGAATCAATTATTTGAAATTTAACTTATGGTGTGATAATATGTTATGAAAAAGGAAATGGATAAATTGTTCTTAACAAAGACAACTTATTTATCAATGTGAATTATTAGGAGGAGAACTTGCTTACTGTGTCATAGACAACTGTGAACTCGATCTGAAATCCTGTGACTTGTCTTTACTGACTGATTGCTGTGGAAGAAGAAGAAAAACAAGTAGTAAGTCAAAAACAAGAGAAGACAACACAGTCAACACTCACATGCTGAAAACCCACCAACTTCCTAAATAAGGAGAGAATGTGCCCGTTTTGAACAAGAACGTTTAGCAGCACAACATATTTGCTCCTATGGAAAACCATGGAAGTAGTTCTCCGGATAGCTTAAACATTCTTTCAGCTTGCAGGTATGTGGCAAAGAAGTCAGTTGTGAATCAGCTTAAATTAACCTCCTAATACTTTGTGGTATATTACTTAAGCTCTAAGTTTGTCTTTCAACATTGCACCTTTCCTTTGTAATCTTTTTAGTATGTTGTATATCTTCATAGCAACACTCATTAAACTACATGCAAGGTTTTGAATTTGGAAAGCTATTTCGATTTTCTCCAAAATTTGTACAATATATCTTTATTAAAGGCACTTTCATAAAAAAAAACGATAAATTAATAAGCACTTTCAGTGTACCAAAGTGTACTCTGAGTATCAAATCTTTCTCTAATTGAAACATTAACTCCAAATGAAAACTACACCATAGGAAATAGTGTTGATATGACATACAAAATTTTATAAATCAACCAAATATTGCTAAAAAACAGGCTGCAAATGTGGTTTAGAGAGAATTGAGCATGAAAAGGATTTATTTAACATTCACAAAGAAAATATAAATTATGTTAAAGTTTTGAATTATATACAAATGAAAGAGATATACTATATTAAAATTTAAAAGATCCAAAAAACAAAACAGAACAAAATGAAATGAAAGAAAATGAATATAACCTTCTCTTTCAGTCTGATTTGATTAACTATGGCTTTTTCTCAGTGTTCTCTCTACTGAAGCTTATTTATTAGCCTTTTTAGATTTCCTCCTTTACAATAAGCATTCTGCAAGACCATTCTTTAGCAAGATTTGGCCCTGAGTATCTTTAAACAAGTATTACTTTTCTCATCATAAAAATTTTTAGAGGATTTTATTCTTTTCTGGATCATAATTATTTCATTATTATTGTTATCTCTACAGCTTTAAGTCAAGCACACACTAAAACAATTACAGAAGAAGATTTTGTGGTAACAGGTGAGTATTGTGGTAAGTGACCCAATTTGGTAGAACAACAAAAAGAACCAAGGAAACCTAGTTTTTTTTTTCTTTCCTATGAGTAAAGTTCATGTGACTCAGTTATGATGTGTTTGGGGAAAAAAGTACATATACATGGAAAATTTCCAACTTGAGAACTAATTCAAATTGCATAATAGGCTACCTGCCCTTACCTAATAGAACAACAAAGAAAATCATAAAAATCTAACTTATAAAGCATCAATCATAACAGAATTTCTCTAGGTTCTTTACAACCTTTTGAACTAAATTTCAAACTAAGCAATCGAATTAAAGGCAAGGTGCTTTATTTTTTTACAAGTCTAAGTAGTATTTCCATCTCTGTCCATTCAAAAGACTAGTATCTGATCATAAGAATATGGTTATATAAGAAACTTGGTAAACTACTGATTTTAAAACATGAACTTAGCATATATCTCTTATCAGAAATTATCATCAATTTGAGCCTATTGTAGCGGTTGCTGGGAGAGAGGTCACACTGAATTATACATCACTGTTAAGCCAACGTTACTTTTAATGATCTGTTGTGTCCCTGACAAATGAGTAACAACATGTTGCCATGTGCAGGTCTTACCAATCTTTCTTGTAATACAGTCTGTTCACTTGAAAAAGATCTGTGATGTCCTCAGAGTTTGTGTGTCAAGCAGGTTAAATGTTGCCCTGCCATCTTTTCTACTGTATTACCACATTACTCTAACTGGTGCACCCAAATACTTTTTTTATGTTGCAAAGGTAGTGTAGCCTATAGTCTGTGTTAAAATCCTACGAAATTCAAGTTAATAGGGGATCCATATAACAAAGTTTTAACACTTATTTGATAAGGATACTTATTTAATTAGGACCAGTACTTGACTTCTAAACACCTTTACTCACTCATTCCTTGATCTCAGCAGCAGCACGCCATATGGGTAGTGACTCATGGAGGCAGAAGGAGGGGGAAGAAGGAGTTTTCTCTGTGAGCCGTTTTGTTTTATGTTATCTTTAAACAACAAAGTCCCCAAGGCTGATATGTAATCAGTCCATAAACAACCCCCCACCATCAACAAGGCCAAGGAACATGATTGCCCTTCTTTCCCTCCTTTCCACACACACCTCTCAGTTGTTTTGTGACTCCATTTCCTCTTCACGGATACCCTTGATTTGGAGAGGAGGGGATGAAGAGAGGAAGATGAGCTAAGTGAAGATGATGAATGAAAGGACCAGAATGTAGAGACTCCTGCCTCCCAAACCCTTATGACTGCTTAGTGATACTTTAAACTTTAGATGCAATGAGATTTAAACATGAAAGGAATGATTAATGGAATAATTTTAAATGCCTGCACTGATCACATGGAGATTTACCAGGAAGAAAACAACTCATAAATAGCGTTGTAAAAGAGAAATGGGCCATGCAAAACACTCACCTGAATATAAACTTTAAGAATGAATGTAAAGTTAGGTAAATGTTTAATCAATGTATTATACACTGAAGCCAGCTTACCAACTTTAAATAAGGCAACTTTATGATACAATATAGCTATATTTTTACATACTGTTACATATTTCCTTTTAGACCTGCTTTTCCCACAAAATTACTATCTATAGTTCTTTATATACACATTGTGGGAATTTTCATTAAAAAATGCAAGAGAGGACAGAAATGAGGGTTGGTGATTAAATTCTAGTTTCTAGTAGTTTCAGTTCTGTCATTAAGTCTATGTGGCATAGGAAAGCCTCTCTTAATCTTTCTTGGGATATATAAAATTGAACTTGAAAATGGACAGAGTTTGGGGGAGTCTCAGAAAAAAAGGATTATCATAGCACCATTCTCTTATTTTACAGATGAGGAAATGGAGGCCCAGAGTTACCAAGGTTATAGAAGTAGAAGGTTATAGAAGCCTGAAGGTTGTTACATTTGTTTTTTAAACTGATTAGACAGCAAAACGATTTTCAATACAATTTTGTCTTAAAGCTTCATGTATACACACATGTAAGTAGAATTATTCCGGTAAACTAGGCTTAAATCTCTTGGTACCTCTACCTACCCAGCCCTACCCGCGAAGCCATATGGATTAGGTCTCTATATATGAACAAATGACAAACCACTGTACTAGACAGCTTTTCTCTATTAACAGAAATCTCTTTCTGGGAGCGCAACTTTATGATTTTAAATATTCATATAAATTTGGAGTCGATTCTTTTGACTTTAGTATTTATTGCTGGTTATGCATCTGATTTACTTGATGCTAAGTTCTCCAAAATAATGCTCTTCTTTAAGGAATAAACAATTCCTTTGACTTAAGATGCAGTTTCTAGAAGCATATTATTACAAAAAGTGAAGAGCATCTTGATTTATAATTTGTAGTTCTGGATACTAATTATGCCAATCAACAACAACAACAAATAGTTATGGAGCACCATTCTAAGTACAAGGCACTGCGCTAGATGACTTGGGGATACAAAGCTGAATATGTAGGGGTCCCTGCCCTTTAAGAGCTTATACACTAATGGGGGAAACAATGTACAAAAGGCAGAATTAGATACATCTTACAATGAAAGTAAAAGGAAATGTGTGGAAATAAAGGGAGACAGATCTTGACTTAAACCTAGAACCTTCTGAGAAGGATTCACAAAGAGGGGAGCTGGGCCTTAAGAGATAGACCAAAATCCTGATAATTAGAGAAGAACAAAAAACCAGAGAGTTTGAGAAAAACGAATGAGCAAAGATTTGAGGGACATGTCTTACAGGAAGCATACCCAGGAGGGTATTTTTGAAGATAAGGAAAATAGTTCAGATCTTCTGTTCAATCTTTGAGAGGTGGAACCTGGATTAAAAACTCATGAGATTTGGACCTTATAGACAAATATGGAGACTAGATTTCGGTGCTGGTAAGTCACATGACTTGATTTCTATTTTAGGAGGGTATCTCCGCTAGGCAGGTGAGAGGTGCATTAAAGGTTAGAAAACGGGAACACTGTGCAGAAAGCAGGGAGCTGTACCAGGCAGTGGCTATTACACAACGTCTTCCCCAAGAGTTTGCCCCTCAGTTCACTTTTAAAAAGCTGGCACTGTTGAAGGTCCTGTCTTCTTCTCTTTGTCCTTTTCATTCATTTTTTTTTTTTTTTTTTTTTTTTGAGAGATTTTTGCTACAGGGTGCATGCGCTTGCCAGACAGACAGAGAAAGACATAGAGACAGAAAGCGAGAAATCCCCCCCCAGGGGGGGATGGTCACGCCGCAATCCCTTCTCCTCCATTCTCCTCTCGGGATCTTGGGCACGCACGCACACGTGCCCGGCGTGAGTGTTAAGCCACCGGGTCCGGGACGCGAACTGCGGTCAACTACGTGGGAGTCCAGCGACATAGCCATTATGCTAACTGCTGGTCCTGTCTTCTTCTCTTTGTCCTTTTTTTTCATTTTTCGTTTGTTTTTTTTCAGAGAGAGATTTTTGCTACAGGGTGCATGCGCTTGCCAGACAGACAGAGAAAGACATAGAGACAGAAAGCGAGAAATCCCCCCCCAGGGGGGGATGGTCACGCCGCAATCCCTTCTCCTCCATTCTCCTCTCGGGATCTTGGGCACGCACGCACACGTGCCCGGCGTGAGTGTTAAGCCACCGGGTCCGGGACGCGAACTGCGGTCAACTACGTGGGAGTCCAGCGACATAGCCATTACACTAATTGCTGGTTCCCTCCTTTTCATTCTTTACATTTTGCTATTTCCATGGACTCAACCAGCACATTTATACTAATATATAACTTCCAAGTCAATACCCTGAAAGCAGATCTCAAGTTTTCTTCAAAATGACTTGGCAGCCAGTTTTCAGCAAAGCAAGGCCAAACAGTAGTTTTTCTGGAAATACACTTGGATTTATAAATTTACATCAAAATTACCTCACAAATCTGAGTTTTCAGCAAATTTCTCCCAGGCCCCATAGATGCCTGTAAGAGATCTGTAATTAGGTGCTGCAAACTTCACATGGCTCAAATATCAGTTCTAATATTCTTAAGTGTGGAGATGTTCAAATTAGAAACCTAGATTTCTCCTTTCCCTCACATAGATTTATAATAGCATGTCTAGCACCTCATTATTTGTGGCTTGAATTATCATGACAGCCTTTACTGGTCTTATTTCTTATAGTATTGCTTTTTACAATTTTTTTCAGAGCTTCTAGAATAAGTTTTTGAAATGACCAATTTGATCATGTCATTCTCCTGCTTTGAATTCTGTGATGGCTCCCTACTATCTTCAAGATAAAATACAGCTCCATGAAAGGACCTTCTCAATCCTGTTCGCCCATTCAGGTTTAGCCTTTTCTGCTCTGGACCTTGTATCCTAAGCTTCAGCCATGATGCAACATTTCTGGCAACCTTAGACATTTGCGAATGCTGCTTCTAATGCCTCCAGTGTATCTTCCTGCCCACCCAGCCCCCTTAAAAACTAACTCATTCACTTCTCATCATATGGCCTCACAGTTTCCTTTCACTGTCCTTCTATTGCTTATATTTATTGTATCTGCATTTTATAACTCTCTGATTAAAGTCACTTTCACTCATTATGAACTGTAGGTTCTATAAGTGCAGGGACTATTTCTGTTTTATTGACCATCATGCTATCTAGACTCCATTTTACCATGATTCCTGGAAAAACAGTAAGCATCTAAAATTATATATGTTAAATGAATAAATAATATAATAATTATTATTATTAGGATGGGGGAGTAAAAATGGGGACAACTAAGTGAGGGTCAGATGAATGTGAGAGGGGAAAATAACAAAAAAGCAAGTGGAGAGGTCTGCCAGAGAAAGGAAGCATAGTTCTTTCTTTGATAACTGAAAACAGCTGAAGAAGGAGGGTTGAATTACAATAGATAAAAGAAGGATGAACACTTGAAGGAATTCATGCTAGATGGTATCTCTTCAAGGAAATAGGAGACAAAGTATATCTGGAATAAATGATTATGAGGCTGAGAAACATGGACATTATTTTTTCACTGGGTGCTATAAAGAATGATCAAGACTAGAATAGAAATCTTCCTCAATCATTAGGAAAATGTGACTTATCTCAGAATGGGATATCTCATACCTGAAAGAATGGCGATTACCAAAAGGACAAAAGATAAAAGGTGTTGGCCAACCATGGTAGTGCAACACACTTGATGCTCAGGCAGGGTTCATATCCCAAAAGTCTCACTGTACAGGCCAGGTGCATAGTGTTTGCCTATGATCCTGGCTGGAGATGAGGGTGGATCATGGCATGAAGACCCTGTTGAGAATGCCAGTCTGTCAGTCTTTCTTTCTCATGGAAGACATAAGTAAATAAATTTTCAAAAGTGTAAATGAAGGGAACCAGCAGTTAGCGTAATGGCTATGTCACTGGACTCCCACGTAGTCGACCGCGGTTCGAGTGCCGAACCCAGTGGCTTAAAACTCATGCCGGGCGCGTGTGCGTGCGTGCCCAAGATCCCGAGAGGAGAATGGAGGAGAAGGGATTGTGGCGTGACCATCCCCCCTGGGGGGTGATTTCTCGTTTTCTGTCTCTATGTCTCTCTCTGTCTGTCTGGCGAGCACACACGCCCTACAGTGAAAATCTCTCCAAAAAAAAAAAAAAGTGTAAATGAAGACATTAAAAAAAAAGATTAACAGGGCCAAGTAGATGGTATAGTAGTTAAAGCAGCTGGATCCCACATGGCTGAGTACACAGGTCAAGTTCCTGATCAGGTGGCTTGGAAAATATGCCAGGTGCATGCGTGCGTATGCCCAAAAATGGAGGAGGAGAGATTATAGGATGGCCACCCCCCTTGGGGGGTTCTCACTTTCCCTGTCTTTCTTTCTCCTCTGTCTCTCTTTGGTGAGTGCACACAGCCTATGGCACAAACTTAAAAAACAAACAAAACTAACAAATATTAGTGAGCATGCGGAGAGAAGGGGACCCCTGTTCTCTGTTGGTGGAAATATTATAAATTAGTACCGCTATTATGAAGAACAGTATGGAGGTTCCTCAACAATTAAAAACAGAACTACCATATGATCTAATAATCCCTCTACTGGGTGTATATCCAAAGAACATGAAATCAGTATGTTGAAGAGATACCTGCATTCCCATGTTTATTGCAACATTATTCATAATAGCCAAGGTATGGAATCACCTTATGTGCTTATCAACTCACGCACCCAGCTGAGTTTTAAGCCACCGGGTCCGGGATGTGAACCGTGGTCGATTACATGGGAGTCCAGCGACATCTGGTTTACCCTGATGCCTGCGGACTGGACAGCTAAGGTACACTTTCCAAGTGTTGCTTATGCATCTGGCATCAAACCACTAAATAATGCTGCTTCCATGCATTTAATTCCTAGTGGCCTAAGTGATCTGGCTTGGGAAAAATGAAAGCAGATCGCAGATAACTAAGGATGTAGAAAGCACTGGAATGCTACTCTTCCTCTCTTTTATTTTCAACAATTCCTGGAAACTTAGGAGTCATTTGGGTCATTCACTTCCTCTTTTAGGGCTGAACTATTCCCTAATCTTTCATCACTAGGGTATAATTCACTCAAACCAAACCACTTAGACTATCAAAAAATCCTGTGTTAAGATACAATAGTGTGTAAGATGTGGTTGCTTAATACACCTGTTATAATGAGAAAGTAGCACTGAGGTTAAGAAGAAAGAAGAGACTCTCTGTACGAAAAAGTTTAAGTGAAAGAGCGATTGCTCTGGTTTGACTGTCCTCCCCAAATCCATGTGTTGAGATATGGTTCTGATGATATAAAGAGGGAGAAAATTAATTGAGCTATGGTGCTGAAAGTTGAGGCCTTTGGGAAGAGATTTGGATTAGGGTCATTAGGGTGGGGCCCAAGATTGATTTCTAATGGTTTATAATGAGATGGAATGAGATCAGAACAGAGACATATGGATACAATACATATGCTCCTACCCTGCACTAGAAGACCCACATTAGATGTGGCCCTTGAACCCTGGACCTCCCCACCA